GTCCAGTTTTTCTTCAGTATGCATGCACTTATTTTATAATCAGAAAGAAAGTGAACATTATTTACTTAAAATCACATTTATAATGACTTTCCCATGCTAGGGAATGCAGACTACCTGGCCCTTTGTAGTAAATTCCTTTTCCAGGAAGTGGGCTATTTATTACAGGAAAGAACTCGGGTTTTTAAGAGGACAACATTTTCCTCTTTGAACTACTCGAGAATAAAGATGGTTCTTTGGAAAGTGTAGCTGAGTGTGGAGACAGAAGACTACGTGTAACGTGGTGAATAGTCATCCTAAAATAATCATTTCTTGCTGTGTTATAGATAGGAAAATTGATTTTAACTTGTTTGAGAAAATTGACAGGCCTACGATATCCCACTAAAGCCAAACTTGCCAGTCTCCTTTAGAGTTGTCGATAAAGATTTCAGTTGTTCACATGAATGGATTTTAATAAAGGAACAAGGTGTTCAGACAAGCACTTTTATTTTTTCTTCCTTCTGTCTTTATACAGTATTGAGGTAAAAGCCATGTTTGCAGCTCTGTAATGGATTTATTGACAAACTATTGGCATTAAGGTCTAGTTTGAGACTGTAAAATTAGCCACATAATATTTTCAGTGTTACTTAACAGGGTTATACAGGTCATTTATACCTTAATTTTGGTTTAAAGGAAAAATAGTGCTTTGACAATCTTTAATTCTAAATTTAGGAAGGGACATAAAAGATAGCCCTATTTTAAGAAAGAGTGGACTGGAACAAATTTTCAAGTGAGTACCTTCGTATATATTTATGTGTGTTTGTGTATCTAACATGTACACATCAAATAAGTCGATTGTATCAAATTAAAACATTTAAGAGGACAGTTAACAAGACTGGACCAACAAGGCAAATTTTGAGATAGGGAGAGTTTCACTTCAATGATTGATATTCAGAAAACAGCAGATATTTTCTTTCCTATAGAATTGGAATTTTGACATCTTTAAAGGAAACACTACATGAACACACGAGGAATTATGCAATTTCTGTCTGAAATTGACATGGAAAACTTTCATGTTTTATTAATGTGTTTTCATTATTGTCAATTTGCCATATGCATTCATGTTGCAAGATAATCAAGAATAAAATAATTGTACATGACAAAGCTTTTTAAATAAAATGTGCTCTACAAATAAAAATAATTTTATTTTTCAGTGACCTTGTCTCATCTTTTAGAATTTAGACTCTACATTTAATTCCTTCTTAAAGGCATGTGAGTTTTTCTTTACTTCTAGTGGGCTATTCCAGTTATCTGCACTGCAAAGGAGTGGTTTCTCATTCTATGTTAGTAATCTGGAAATGGCAAAAATTTAGAAAAACTCTTAATACAATGGCAGACAGAGAAGGAAATTAAAGTTTGGTGGGATCTTCTGTTGTCTGCATCAGATTTTAAATTATCTTTGTCTAGAAAGGGAAAAAGAAATATTGCGAATTCACAGGTTAATGTAAAGGGTCTAAATTTTTCTCTTTGTAACTTCATCAGTGAATAGAGAAAAATAGTCTCTGTGTATTTCCTTTGTTCCAGTTTAAAAACGTCTTACATGTTTTACTTTTAGGCCATTTCTCATTTCTCTGACTTGGTTTTCCATGGAATTTGACAGAACAAAGCAAGCATTTTATGATGGAATTTTGTGCGTTCTTTGTCTTTTGACAGGCTAACCCTACTGGAAATAAATGATGAGGATGACAATTAAGAATATGTTCACCATCAGCATAAGATACCTGTATAAACATTTAGAAATTAATAGTGAAAAAATAAAAAATATTGGGGAAGCTACAAAACGAATTTTGCAAAGAAATTTTTTAGAAAGACTGTTGAGGTCTGTTACATGTAAAGACTTTAGTGACATATGTAAGCTGATTGGACCAGCCTTTAGAAAAGATACGGGGGGGTGGGGGGGATATATATATATATATATAGGAAACTTAAAGACAGGCCAGTTAAAATAGTAAGGTAGGGGAATAATTTCATGTATTTTAAACTAATACTTTTTGGTTTTTTTAAATAATAAGGCCTGATATTTGTCACATTGTAGGGTGTAGAGTACAATTTGACAATGCAATTTAAACACCGTAAATATATTCATACCCTCTGACCCAGTAATTCCAGGAATGAAAATTTATCATAAGAAAATAATTTAAAAGACTAAGAAGAAGAAAGCAACAACCACCAAGTGTGTACAAAGTTTTTTTTATAGAAACATTACTTTTTTCAACATTTTCCAAAATAAAGATCATACATTGGTCGAGACAGACTATGCAAGAGTTACAGCAATGCGCAGCCACAGGTTTGTTCAGTGTGCTTGCAAAAGGTGTATTGGAAACACATACCTGTGCTGGAAATGGACGGTGTGCAGTGTGACAATTCTGTACTTAAGCAGGGGAAATTGACAGTGTGCTACATTTGCTTTCAAGTAGACAAAATGCAGACTACATCTGTACTAACCTGGAGGGCAATCCCACTTCATAAGGTGAGAGGGACTCTGATGATAATGAGAGCTGCTAGGCTGGCAGCTCCTTGAAGACAAGGACCCACCCTGTCTGACTCATCTTGGGACCCTAATAGAGTGCCTGTCCTGTAGTTGACTCTCAGGAAATGATGAATGTTTCGATCTGTTGTTCTTTTCTCTAAATCCTAAATCCTGATTGTTGATTAGGGCCCCCAAACTCCCACCAGGTATCTGGCAGAATCACTAGAGCTGTTTAAAAATATAAATTCCTAGGTCTCCACACCCTGGAATTTTTTTTTTTTTTTAGCTGAGCCATCCTGCCACCTGTTGGCAGCTCAGCTCGGGCCGAGAATCGAACTGGCGACCCTGTTGCTCAGAGCTCACACTCTTGAGTGAGCTGTTAACCAACTGAGTCACTGAACCAGCCCACCCCCCCTTGAATTCTTATTTATTCACGTGGACCTAGGGACTTTTTTTTTTTTCAACTTTTTATTTTGAAATAATTTTAAACCTTAAGAATTCTTAACAGAGAGCTTGCCTTGACCCTTCACCCAGTTTATTAAATTATTAAAACAAGGAAACTAACAGTGTTATAACACTATCAATTGGTCTACAATCCTTATTTAAATTTTGCCAATTTTCCTATTTATGTCCTTTCTGTGGTCCAGAATCGAACCCAGGACCCCACATTGCACTAAATTGTCATGTCTTCCTAGTTTCTTTCAATCTGTAATAGTTCCTCAGTCTTTCTTTATCTTTCATGACCTTGGCAATTTTGAAGTACTTTTCAGGTTTATTTTTTTGGTAAAATGTCCCTAAATTTGGGTATATCTTATGTCTTCTCGTGATTAGATTGAGGTCATGCATTTTTGGCAGGAATCCCACGGAAGGGAAGCTGTGGACTAGCCGGTGCACCGTATTGGTGGTATCTGATGCCGATAGGTCTTATTACAGTGCTGGTAATGGTGACTGCTTGGTTAAGGTGTCTGCTCAGTTTTTTACTCTCTACAGGTACTGTTTCCCTTTGTATTTAGTTAAGTATCTTGTGGGGAGATACTTTGCACATATCCTGTCTCTCATCAAAAAGTCACTGTTGGGCAAATACCATAGTGATAATTGTTGCAGTCAAGAGCCATCTGTGGTTTGATAACTATGCAGATATCTGGTTTCTTATCAAATCATAAGTGGCTCTTGCCTGCAACAGTTCATCACTATGGCATTAGCCCAGGTTTTCATTCCCACCATTCCTTCTGCGTTCAGTAGTTGAAAAGCTACTGTAAGGAAAAACTGCCCCTTCTCCCTCAGTTATTTACATCCATATGGCCTCATATTGTTCTATTCTGCTGGCTTTAATCGAGCACCATTATTCACATATTTTGTTGCTCCAGTTGTTCTATCCTTGGCTGCTGTGAGCTCCTTTGGATTGTCCTTTGTCTCCTTTCCACTTTTTTTTTTTTTAGCACTTTTGTACTTTGAGACATCACATGATATTCTAGGCTCATCTTATATTTTTCCTGCTGTGGGCGTACAGTTCCAAGGAGCCCTGGTTTCATTTATTGGAGACTGGTGTTTAGGAACCAAGGTCTGGGTGCTGGACGTGCTCCTTGCTGCTTAGGTGTCATAGGCCCTTCCGGTGGACAGAGCTCGGAAATACACATGCATATACTAACACACCTGTACACATGAATAGATTTGTTTCAATATCTATCGGTAGATGAGATCGGACAATTAAGTTCGCGAACTTCCCACCATGTACGCGCACAGAGGAAAGATTGTGAACTTAATTGTCTGACCTTTTCGTATATAGTAAACACCTTGAGTTCTTACCTCTGACTCAAATCCAACAGGACAGGGTTCTTTCTAACATCTCCCCTCTTCTTATTCGTAACTTCTTTTTCCACCATGGCTGTCATTATCTACAATATATTTACTTATTTGTTCAAGCCTAGTATACACATAAAGAAGTGGTTCTAACTGGAGGCAATTTTGCCCCCCAGGGGATATTTGGCAATGTCTGGAGATGTCTTAGGTTGTCACAACTCAGGGTGGCGGACTGCTAATGGCATCTAGTGAATAGAGGCCAGGGATGTCCTAAGTATCGTACAATGCCCAGGGCGGCCCCCACAGCAAAGAATTATATGGTCCAAAATGCCAGTAGTGCCAAGGTTGAGAGACCTAGACATAAAATCATTTCAGAATTGCTAGGCTATACCCCCACGAGAAATTAATTTAGTAACGCAAATATAATATTTGTGTACAGTTCTTTTTTTCTTTAGCGTTATCTGGAGTTTATTAGGGTTCGTTCTTCTCCACCCCCTTCAGTATGGTTGTGTTATTCATTTATAATATAGTCAGACCTTTTGTCACTCTCTGTATTCAGTTTTGGGGCTTGTTTATTTTATGAGTATGTGAAATGGCATGGTTCTAAGAGTCAGAGCAGCACACAGGGGGTACTCAGAGAAATGGGAATCTATTTGTTAAACGTTCTTTGATTCTGATATTCACCTGTTTTCAGAACCACTGGTGTAGCTCATGGGCTTTGAAGTCAGACCTGAATTGAAATCCAGTCTCTTGTCAGGTATGTAATGCTGGGTAAGTTACTTTCCCTCTCTGAGCTCCCAGCTCCTACTTCTAAGGATTGTTGTGAGGATAGAAAAAAACAGATGCGATGTTTATCACAGTGCCTGCACACAGCAGGGTTCCAGATGATAGTTGTAGTCATTTCTCCGTATATCCATGTAGCAAGTATTAATTGTGTTGCTGCTATGTATTGAGGCACTCTATTATTTCCTAATGATGCAAAATAAGACGTGGTTCATGCCTTTGAGTAGTTCATGTTTTATGGGGCTCATAGTGGTTCTGCAGAGAATACAACGACCGCTTCTTACGTTGTACGTTGCTGTGCAATATAGGAGGCTAAGATATTCATAAATCACAATTTTTATTGAAGCTTTTCCCTAGAAAGCCTAACGAATGCAGACTATGTATGTCTCTCCCTGGTGAGCTATCATGATAAAAACAAAACCTGAAGAAATAGACAGTTATGTGTCTCTGACTCAAATATATGTCATTTCAGGCTTTTAAAAATGTCTGGGTCTCAGATCATTTGAAGCTGAATTCTCTAGTGGACACCTGTGGACAGGCGTTCAGTGTTCTTAGATACTGGACATTGAAGTGGTTTTCTTCTATATGTAAATGTTTTAGAATAGTGCTGCTCGGTGTTAATGTGCATCCATATCATCTGGGGCTCGTTAGACAGCAGATTCGGAGTCGGTAGAGCTGGAGTGGGGCCTGAGAACCTGCATTCCTAACAAGCTCTCCGCAAATGCAGCTGGTTGTGGATCACACTTTAAGTAACAAGGGTTGATAGCAATGACTTTGAAATTGGACTTCCTGGCTTTGAACCCCATTTCTTCAACTTACTAGATAGGTGTCTAGACTAATTTCACCCTCTGTGGATGTTGTACCTTGAGGTATGAGCTACTGAAGTCACCACTTACAGCATTTTAACTTTTTAATTAACACTTAGTGCATTAAGACAAACCTCTAGCAACTGATGGGTGAAATTGAAAAGCAAATGGCATGATTTGGACATGCAGCTAAAGATGTGCTGCTTTCATTTGAATGTACATACTGGGGGAGCCAAAAAAATATGTACACATGACTTGTCTTCATCTTCTGCTATCGGTATATATTGAGCATTACAATTCTAATACAGTTTTTTCCTTGCTTAAAATGTGTATACATTTTTTTGGCACCCTGTGTAGTATTTATGAGAGATTTTTTCCCCCAGTGTGACAGCCACTAAAACTAAGTACATAAATTAACTGAAAATTAGAACCAGTTATCACAAAGGTTTAAATCAAGGTGCGTCTTTTTTAAAGCACATATAATAGCACTGATCTCATCATATGAATGTATAAATAAAATAATGTTTTAGTGAAACAATTTTTGAACCATTAATAAATAAAATAGAGTAATGTGTGTTTTACTTCATCGGTCCTTATAAAATTTCTAGTTTTTGTGTGTTTGAATTTACCTAATTGGTATAAAAGTACAATATATTTCTCCAATTTATATTCCAAACTGGGTGTATGTGCTCAAGATTACTTTGCTCCTGAGGGGTGGAAGAAAAATGTTTCGATTCTACTGCTGTAGGGCACAGAAAAGATGACTTTCTGTTGAAAAGATAAATTGAGGGCAGATGTTAATAGCTATGGGGACAGAAGGGGGTAAGGGGGAAGACCTTTCAGGGATACCTGACCAACGCAGATAACGGAGAAGATACTCAAATTCCTTTCATATTTCTTCCCTACATTTTTCTTACGCCGTAGCAGAGAGAGCTGGGCAGTGGGCCATCTGAACCATGAGTGCTGTGAGGATACCGGAGGCAGAAAGCAGAGCCATGTCCTGAGGTTTATTAGGTGACACTCCTAGTGACAGGGGCAGCTGATAGTTTGCACTTATTTTTTATGCTTTCTGATTCGGGTATTCATGCAGGCAAAAATGTTTATTAAGCATCTACTATGTGCTTTAAAATGACACCCAGAAAGTCCACAAAGCACCCAAACTGATTTTCAGACTGAAAAACTGAAGAGGACGTTTAGATCTCTCGGGGGGGGGGGGGGGGGGGGGGGGAATAATACCTGCATTTCTTCCGCAAGGAGGATTAAGTTAGGATGGGAGGCAGCTGAGCCCCACTGTGGCTGGCTGGGGGCCAGCGCTTTGAAGTTCCTTGCTTGCACAGACGAACCCTGTCAATTCCGAAGGTATAGGAAGCTGGGTTGTCCTTTGATGTCAGAACTGCTTTCAGGGACCATCTTAGGTTGCGTCTCCTTTGAAGCCCAGTGACTGAAGGCAATCTTTGCTTACACAAGGCCAATCATTTGACCTAGAAAGCCTAGAAAGAAAAACCCTTTGCCAAAGGGAGTTGAAAATAGCTCCAAGTGATCTGAAACATCATGTTTACGGAAAGCATTTCCAGAGAGATCCGTTGGACTTAATCTGGTTTACCCAAAGGCAGAGGATTACTTGTTCGAAATGATTCCTTCTGGGAATTTACAGAGCAATGGAATGCATCTCGCAGAACTCTGTGGGTACCGGCACGTGAAACTGCAGACGTTTCTGGGAAGGGCTGTTCATTGCTAAATGCACAACTATCCATAATCACGAAGTGTGTGGTTGGGATGTTTATAAAGCCAGTGATAGAGGGTTTGGAGTGGGACGGAATAGCCAAAGACGCTGAAAGGATCAGTTTCTGAGATTCCATGTTATCGGATTTCTTCCCTGATGTCAGGTTCATGGGAAACGGGAAATTGCAAGCTGGTGTGTGTTACCCTCTTACACCTTCAAATGCTGCTTAACACAGGCGCATTTCTGAAATATTTGCTTGAATACCTGAACTCCAAGCCCTCGTTTTCCTGGCTGCTTGTCATCCTTCGGATTGGCTGTTCTTCTGATCCTAGCCAGAGCATCTGGACATTGCTCAGGCAGTTAAAATGAAAAGAAACTTGTCAAGGTATTTTCTGCTCCTATTACTTTTAAATTCATAGTTCAAAGTACTTGTTAATTTCAGACATAATAATTTCTGAACTTGGTAATTATTTATAAATATATTGTTTTTTACATTTAACCTTGTCTTATCTATCTATCTATCTATCTATTATTCAATTTATTTAAACTAAAAAACAAAACAAAATTTCTCCCATTTCCCACTTCCGGCCTCTGGCAACCACGAGTCTGTTCTCTGTATCTATGAACTTGGTTTATTTATTTTTTAGATTCCGCCTACAACAGAGATCATATGATATTTGTATTTGTCAGTCTGACTTATTTCACTTAGCATAATGCCCTTGAGGTCCATCCATGTTGTCACAAGTGGCAAGATTTCATTCTTTTTTATGGCTGAATAACACACACACACACACCCCACAATTTCTCTATCCATTCATGTATCAATGGACATTCAGGTTGTTTCCACGTCTTGACTATTGTAAATAATGCTGCAATGAACATGGGAGTGCATATCTTTTTTAGTCAGTGTTTTCATTTTCTTTGGAATAACACCCAGAAGTGGAATTGCTGGATTATATGGTGGTCTACTTTTAATTTTTTGAAGACCCTCTGTACTGTTTTCCATAGTGGCTGCACCAATTTACATTCCCACTGACAGTGCACAAGGGTTCCCTTTTCTCCACATCCTCACCAATACTTGTTATTTCTAGTCTTTTTGATGATAGCCATTCCAACAGCTGTGATACCTCAGTGTGTTTTGATTTCCAGTTTCCTGATGATTAATGTTGTAGAGCATCTTTTCTTGTACTTGTTGGCCATCTGTGTGTCTTTGAAAAAATCAGATGCTCAGCCTTTTTTCTGTCAGATTGTTTGGGTTTTATGCTGTTGAGTTGTATGAGTTCTTTATATATTTTGAAGATTAGCCCCTTATCAGATACATGATTTGCAAATATTTTCTCCCATCTAGTAGGTTGCCTTTTCATTTTGTTGATAGTTTATTTTGCTTTACTATTTATAAATATCACATTGGTTTTGTTTTTAATATTTTTATGTTCAAAATTATGATATCTTTAAGAATGGAAAAAGAGCTTTGGCCTAAGGTAGCAGGTTGGACTGGAGTTGGAGGTCATAATGGCAGAGAAATGACACTGCTGACCCATTGCCACTGGATTATTTCAGTCACTAATCTGAGTCACTAATCATGGGTTTAGATTATTGGGTCTCTCCCAGGTCCTTGGCTACAGATCCTTGAATTAACAACTGTGAAACTTGAGGGAGCTCACCATTTTGGGTGGATTGGCCAAGTGGATCTGCTTGAATGTTAGGAGCAAGTTGGCATTTCATACCCCTTGCTTCATTTAAGACCATTCATAGGAGATAGTTTAGCTTTATAGAGTTACCCAGAATAGTCATAACATGGCCCTGTTTGAATTCTCCCCATTTGCTTCTAAGTGATGGGTGTGCTGCAATGGAGGGAAAGGCCCTCTAGTGAATTTTCATTTAAAATGAAAATTCATTCCATGAGTTTAAATCATTTTGAGATCAGTCATATTTTAAATATACTAGCCAATCATAATAAGCATCACATGTGAAATACAGTCTAGCTACTGCAGGGACACGAATGAGATGGAGCAAATCCCTATAGACGTATATATACATATACATTAAACAAACTAAAAAGTAAAAAAAATTCAAGCTATTACATGTGTTGGACAAGCCAATCTTTAAGAAGTAAAGAATTTTTCAAAGTAAAATTTCCTGTGGTATTTTTATTGAATGAAAAGAGTTAAAAGTTCTACTTTTAGTAAAAAAAAAAAAAAATTTGTAGAGCAAGGGAATGCTGAGGGTAGGGCAGTATAAAAATAATGACGTTAGAACGTCCAACATAATGGGAGAGTCAGTTTTAACATTTGAGTTTTCAGTGTTTTTACTGGATAACAGACAAACCAGAAAGTGTTCGAATAATCCTTATTTTCTCCCACAAACAGGGAGAGAGTAATTAAATCTTCCTAAACACCTAGTGTTAATTTTTACCAAAACTATGAACATTTTAAGATTTCTTTT